TGGTGGACTTGCAACTAGGGAAACTACAAAACTACACCCTTCGTAAGTCGGGAATGGACGTGTAACTAGGACGACAACATACTATGAGCTCAGTTGCGAGTCGAGAGTGGACTCGCAACTAAGATAAAAAAACAAAATAGAGGCCCAGTTGCGAGTTGACGATGGACTTGCAACTAGAACAACAACAAACTATGGGCCTTACCCGCAAAAAAATATGGGCCTAGTTAGAGTCGGGGGTGAACTTACAACTTTGACAACAACAAAAGTATGAACCTAGTTGCGAGTCGACGATGGACCTGCAATTAGGACAACGATGAAACAGTGCACCCAGTTGTGAGTAAATGGTCGGCCTACAACTAGGATAAACAAACTATGGACCCAGTTGCAAGTCAAAGGTGGACTTGCAACTGGAGTGTAAAATAAAATACTCCCTCCGTTCGGAATTACTTGTCTCGGAAATGAATGTATCTAGAAATAAAATACATCTAGATACATCCATTTCTACGACAAGTAATTCCGAACGGAGGGAGTACATGTTTAGTTGCGAGTCGAGGGTGGGCTTGCAATAGGGAGAACTATGAGGCCAGTTGCGAGTCGAAGGTGGACTTGCAACTGAGACAGCTACGAAACTACGAACCCAGTTGCGAGTCAAGGGTCGACATGCAATTGGGATCAAACAAACTACAATCCCAGTTGCGAGTCAAGGCTGAACTTGCAACTAAGATGAAAGACAAAACACAGGCTAAGTTGCAAGTCAAGGGTGGGCTTCCAAGGAGGATAAAACAAACTGTCGGCCTAGCTACTTGCGAATCATTGGTGGACTTGTAACTGGGACAACTGTACAAAACTATGATATGAGTTGCGAGTCAACGGTGAGTTTGTAACTGGGACAACTACAAACTGTGAGGTTAATCGCGAGTCAAGGGTAGACTTGCAACTTGGATAAAAAAACAAACCACATGCCCAATTACGAGTCAATGGCGAGCTTGCAACTGGGACAACTACACCAACTACGATACGATTTGTGAGTAGAGGATGGATTTGCAACTATAAAAATTACAAACTATGAGCCGAGTGACAAGTAAAAGATGGACTTGCAACCAGGATGAAAAACAAAGTATGAACCGAGTTAAGAGTCTGAAGGTAGACTTGCAACCGGGACAAGCGCATAACCTACCTCTTTGATTTCTACGACATTGCCAAATGACATGGGCACACAAGAACGCGTGCGGAAAGATGCCCAATAAAAAACATATGTACAACACGGACGGGACGACAAATGAACAAAAGGTAACAACGCGGTAGAAGAAGACATCGGCCGACATGCGAGATTAAAAATTTGCACTAAATTACAACAGCAAGATCTGATGGATAACAACTCAGATGAAACATTGCTAATTTTATCTTGATAAAGCTTAGAAGAAATGGGAGACAATGTGAAAATGAACAGAGAAGGTAACAACTACAATAGCCTTCACTTTTTTTTGTCTCTTCTAATTCTACGCCTTGGCCTAGAAACAACGTAGCGAAATGGCTTGTCAGCACAACACGATAATGTGCCAAAAAGTGTGGAGCCAAACTGACCAACAAAAGGATGCGACAAACAAAACATCGACCAACAAGGCGGGGACAACGCTTGCATAAAAATTACAAAAACTAAATCAACCGGTAAAAAACTTGGATGAGACCTCATAAAAAACCATCTAATGTGATTTTGTAATTTAGTATAAAATTTTCCACTGGACAAATGGAGGACAAAAAGCCACAACATCCACCAGACAGAACAAATTATATGAACCGTACAACAATTAATCATGTGGAGAGAATTAGCAAATAGTCGATCTGATTTGTACAAAAAAAATTCCAAAAATTATACAATTTTCTTTTAGAAAATCACGAACCACTCACATTTTTTTGAGGTGGTCGAACAACTCACATGGATGTGAAAAGGTCGGGGGACAAGGAAAAAACAGGCCCAAACACTGACGCGGGGAACACAGGCCAGCAAACAACGACTAAGGACATAATGGGCCCAAAAAAACACAACAGCAATGTGAGCACAATGGAGACGGCAACTGCGCGAGCACATTTTCATCAAAAGAAAAAAACCACACGAGCACATAATGGACGCGGCAAACTACAGGAATCAAGGGCTCGCATGAAAAAAAAAGACTGCTGATCAAACGGTGAGGGACTTATATGTGAGACACCAACAAAAATCATGAGTTTTTGAAAAAGGCGAAAACAAAAATAAAAACAAAAAAACAAAAAAGAAGACCAAAAAAGGGCTGAAAGCTTCTCCAAAAACTAGTAAAAAAAGCCTTTTATGTGTCAG